AACTTTTCAATTAAAACACTTTTCAATTAAAGTAAGTACCAATAAAAATTCTGCTAATTGTCATTTTTTTTTTTTATGGTCTCCAGTGTCAAAGAGGCCTAAGACAGGTGAGAAAATTGGCATAGCTCTCTTACCTAGCAGAGCAAGACTGATCTATGCTAGATTTATCTTCAGGTATGTTGAGGAAAGAATAAAGAGTGGAATAAGAAGGACTGGGGCATGTTGGGAGAGGAAGGTGCCCTTGAGTGGCTACATTTCTCCTTTTCTGCAGTTTCCTTCTGTTGTCTGTCCAAGTTCTAATGATCTCTAACACCTTCTTCCAGACAACAGGCAACTTTTCCAGTCTTTACTGGAAGGCTCAGTCTGCAAAAGCACATGAGATGATGGATTATGTCTCAGATCACTGTGTCATTGATAGGTGAGTACACTCACAGGGAGCACACGTGATTGCAGAGGGACCATTCACCTTTTGTTCCTCTAACACAAGTCCCAAAGCAAACCCTGCAGTGAAGAAATAATCTTAACTCTCTCAGTAGGACCACAGAGAGCCTTCACAAATTCCCTTTCCCCATTTCTGATGGTGCTGCAAGGGTCAGCGTTCATTGTCCTAATTGCAGTGTTTGAGAGATACCCATAAAGATATGCCAATCATCTGGCAGATTTTGGATGTTAGGAGCCTGTCCAGTGGTTTCTAGGGACTTTGGCTCCATGTGGCTTGAAAACCAGTGTGGAATACCATCTCTTGGGCATTTTTGGTCAAGTGCAAAAAGAGAGGAGGGGGAAAACAAACCAAAGGAAGAGGAGAAGAAAGCATCCATGTTGTAGTAGGGCTCATTCTTCTGCTTGTGTCTTTGTTTTTAGTTGTATTTTAACATGCACTTAAAAAATAGTTAGCTCAACAGGTGAGGCTGGGGAGAAAGATGCCAAGACCTCTTATAGACTGGGGGGATGCTGGGACAGCGGTTGGAAATGGGAAGGGCACTGGAGGGGACAGGGGAGGAAGCCCACGCATTGACATCACGATTCTGGCACATCTTCCAAGCGAAAACCAAAACCAGCTGCAACACCGAATAAAGAAAACCAGAAAGAAGAATAAGGAGGAGATGAAAAAGAAGCAAAACACAGATTTTTCTTTCACATCCTGGGGATGGGGGAAAGAAGAGGGTGGAGAGAAAACAGAAATGCCTAAATGAGAACTTGGGAAGGGTTAAGACACCAATCTCCTGGCGTTTCCCATTTCCCCTAAGCGTTTCATTCTCAGTGTCTCTGAGGTGTTCAAGTTTTTCTTGAAAAATATATATATATATATATATTACAGATGAAAAACTCCGTACCGACAAGAAGAAATAAAACCGTAACAACGGAAAACAACCATAATAAAACAAAAACACAGCCCTGAAAACATCAAAAAGAAACAGAGTGAGTCTCAGATTTCCCCTGCGGTGTTCCTCTGACTTCAGTAACAGTGCAGGATTACACCAATACACTTTGATACTATTTTTTTTTAAAAAAAACCCCAGCTTCTTCTTCCTTTCATGTGCGCATGTCCAGGCAGTATAGCCCATCACTCATAACCACTTCCCTCCAAGCCAGCTATTTGTCCCTAGACTCCTACCATCCAGCTGCGAGTACAAGGCATGACAATAAGGGTCCATATTTCTCTTTTGTGGCACTTTGTTTGTCAAAACCTTTGGTTTCTTCCTTTTTTTTTTTTTTTTTTAATTTTCCTTTTTTTTTTTTAAACGTACTTATAAAAAATACTGTGTTTTGTGTTGTTGTTGTCATTTTCTTACCGCTGGCTCTGGTGGGACTTCGACCCCACTTTCACAGCCATCATCAACGGATCTGGAACATGCGTCGACATTACTCAACGGATCAACAAAACCAAGGCAGAACCAACCGAACCCAAATCCCTCCCCCACCAATGCACAGGCCTCGTAAAAAAAAAATGCTGAGATGTCCATAAGGTGCATGATGAGTCCATCAGCTCAGCAATCAAACAGAAAGCAAGCCAAATGAGAAAGGAAATAACGCACACACACGGAGACACACGCACGCGCACACGCACAAAATAATAATAATTATAATCAAGAGAGAAATGTCTGGGGTTTTTAAAACCAAGACGTGTCCCTAAGTTTGCTGTTTCAATATGAATCTTGTGATATTCTCCCCACAGACACATCCAGGTTTGGACTGCTGTCGTTTGAATGGTTTTAGAAAGAGTTGCCTACACGTGTAACTGCTTGGCTGAACAAAACCCACTTGCTGACTTCACTCCTGTTTGCACCACATCCCCCATTAGACACACTCAGGATCCGTTGCTCTGAAGAGCTTCTGGTTTGCTAGCAAAAGGCATGAATGAAACCAAATGCACTCGTTCTGCAATCAATTTACACACCCTGTCTTTTACCCCTTCCTCCCTCCAGGTGCAAAGTAGGTTCAGGCTGTAGCTCTGAGGATGGTGTGAGATGGATGTGGGTTGATTTTCCGTGGCATCAAGCCATTCCTCCACCTGCTAGGGAGCTCTGTTCATTTCTGGTGTACAAGATGGAAAGTTCTGCAGACCCTGAGGGTCTTCCACTGTGCTGCACCGTGGCGTTATCCAGGCTGGCAGCTGTACGAAGAGAAGAGCCAAGTGCAGAAGAGATGCAGGAGCTCGCTCCTCTTTGGTTGGCCATGAAACAGGTTGAGTTGTTGTTCTGGAGGAGTTGAGCAGAGGATAGGGCAAGGCAATCACCCACAATTGTCCTGTGGTGACAAGTGATCTCTGAAGGGATAGGAAGTGCAAAGAGAGAGCAAATCCTTCCCAGGTAGCAACTCTGCCTTCATCAAGTCCTGTTGGTTCCAGAAATGGAGAATAGAAAAAGCCAGGAGTTGGCACCAAAAGGCAGATGAGCTTACAGTGGTTCAGAGACCTCCAGAAGACATGCAGTTTGGCTGGGGGTATCTAGGTAGAAGAATACTTTGCAGTGTTTCATTTGGATTCCCTCCAAGCTTTCCTTCTAAAATATGGGGTAACATTTCTTCTTAGGAGTGGCTTTGAAGGAAGGTCTTACCATCAGTCCTGTGCACCACTTTGCTTCATGGCAAGCCCTTCAGTATCCTTCTGATATTCCACCATGAGAAAACAATAGCTTTGTTTCAGTTGAGGAAAGAAAATGGAAAGAAATAACAGCTTTTAAAAATAATAAAAAAAAATCCTTCTGGTTGGTTTTTGAGGTCAAGCTCCTTGCCAGGAACAAAATGAGACTTCTGGCTCTTGCTTTCCAAGCTGAAGAGGGAAGAAGGGAGATGCTGTAGCGTCCGTTGCCAGAAGGAACAGAACCACCATGGATGGGATGCCACCGAGCAGAGAGAGCATTGTTGCTGCAGTGCTAGGACCAACAGGACACAATGGGAAAGACGGAGGGGGACACGGGTCTCTTGGAAAAATAAGAATAACCATGTGAAACACGTAGGCAGGGGAGTGTTGGTCTCCTCCCCCACAAGGGAGCAGCTACACCGCTGTTTGCTGGGCCAGAGAAGGGCCACGATGGTCCCGCTCTGGACAGAGCTGTGGCATTTTTGGGGGAGCCTTGAGGTTCCGCTCCCAGGAGGTCACTATCAAGAGATAGAGTTGCAATGGCTCTGCAGGACAGGATCTTGATGTGCTCCAGCCCTCCAAGATCCCTGCAGGCAGGCTGCCTTCCCCTTGGGGAGACTTTTAGTAATACTGAGTTGATTTCCATGTCCACTCCAGAGGCTGCAGCCCCTGGAGGGCAGTTAAAGCAGCATGACAGAATTTACCTCCCAATTTCCCATCTGCAGAGTGATGATGTGAGGTCGGGAGAGGGTTTGGGGTGGTTTCTGTGTGTGTAATAGTCCTTCTGTAGGGCAAAGGCAGAAGGGAAGCTGTGAAACGGAGAGCTCCACCTGAACTTCTTGATGTCCCCAGAGCCAAGATTCCTCTGCCAACTTTTCTTTTAAACCCTGGGGCTTTGTGGTTTTCTCCATAGGTTTTGAAAGAGAAAGAAATGAAAGAGAGAGAGAGAGAGGAGGGTTGTTCAGGTGACTCTGCTTACAGCCGATCAAAACTTGCACTTGGTAAAGATGATGATCTTGAGTGAGGCACGACTTGGTTTATCCCTCCCAGGGTGTCCCTGGCAGGACAGTTCTCAGCTGTCTATGCTCATGAGGGTTATGACTTGTTCAAGTTTGTAGGCAAGTTTCTGTTTCCCAGCCTGGTCGTCTTGATCAAGGGCTCCGAGAATCTGGAAGACGAGAGAGAAAGAAGTGATTTGACTTTTTTTTTTTCCCAAAAGGACTGAGGTCAGCATCTTAGAGCAGCAAATTTCTCTAAGGTAGGTCCCAGGCTTAGCTTAGATTATGCAAAACAGGGCAGTCAACCAGCAGGGAACTACCCAGGCAGTTTGGGGTTGATCTGACTAAATACAGATTTCTAGACTGCCACCAATCCAATGGATTCTCATCTTGGAGATGAGTTATTTGGTAGCTTTAATCATCATCTTGCCATGACATTTGAGATGCCCTAAGGGGTCTCACCTTGTGTTCTTCACATAGAACCATCCTAGTCAACTTTAAGTCTTGTGTCATGCTTGTTGGACTGTTCTTGGGTGCTTCAGGGTGTGAAGTGGCACTGGGCACATATGCTTAAACAACTTTAGGTCACATGTGATCCAGAGATCATGTAGGGCTCCTCCTTAGCAAGCTAACATCTGATTATCAACAACAGCAAGCCAGCTAAATCTGATTGACTGATAATAGGAGAAAAAAATATCAGGGGTCCAGAGGGAAGAGTAACGATTTCCCACTTATTGACCCAATAATCCCAGACCTTCCCTTTCCAAACCCCAGGCTTTGCTTTTCATTCTTAAAGTCCATCATCCCCTGAGCCAGGGTGAAGATAGGTATCTGTATCCCCGACACATGCTGGCCCCTGGGAATGGGTGGGCAGTCCTATGGTCCTGCAGAACTGCTCTTCCCCCTTCCAAAGTTCTTACCTCCTCGCTGTACTTGCCAACGTAGGAGTATATCTCTGAGAGAGCACTCATAGTGTTGAACTCGTTCATATGCATGCGAGACTGCTCAGCCAAGTATGCATTCATGTCCTGGTCACTGATTGCTGGCATTTTGGCAATGTCTGAGTAGTACCTGAGAGAGAGAAATACAGGTGATTCTTCTGGGGAGAGAGTAGGGAGTCAAGAGATGGAAGCCACCAACAATGAGACAGAACACAGAACTCTTCTGGTGCTCTTCTGGTGCATCAGTGATATACCTGGTCATGCTCTTCTTTTACAGCAAGGGAAATACACAGGAAAAAAATAAATCATTTTATGCTTACATGTAAAATTCACACTAGAACATCCTCATCCATTGTTAACATCATCGTTAGCAATAGTATCCTGGGGTGCATTCAGAAGATTGCGACCAGCAGGTCAAGGGAGGTTCTCTTCCCTCTCTGTTCTGCCCTAGTCAGGCCACCTCTGGAGTATTGGGCCCAGTTCTGAGCTCCCCAGTTCAAGAGACAAGGAACTACTGGAGAGAATCCAGCAGAGGTTATGAAGAAAATGAAGAAGGGCTGGAGCATCTCTGTGCCAGGCCAGGCTGAGAGCCCTGGGGCTGCTGAGCTGGAGAAGAGAAGCTTCAGAGGGGATCTGATCAGTGCTGAGCAAGAGCTAAAGGGCCCTGGGGGGCAAGAAGCTGGGGCCAGACTCTTGTCAGTGGTGCCCAGCGACAGGACAAGGGGCAATGGACACAAACAGAAACACAGGGGTTTCCACCTGAATATGAGGAAAAATTTGTTTCCTGTGGGAGTGCCTGAGCCTGGAAGAGGCTGCTCAGAGATGTTGTGGAGTCTCCTTCTCTGGAGACTTTCAAAACCTGCTTGGATGTGATCCTGGACAACCTGGTCTAGGTGACGCTGCTGGAGCAGAGGGGTTGGACAAGATGATCTCCAGAGGACCCTTCCAACCCCTACCATTCTGTGATTCTGTGATCATCCAGTTTCCCCACTGAATCCACTTATCCCAGCAACTTTTTTTGCTGCTCAACACCTTCCTTTTACCCCACATTTTAAGCTGGCTTGATGTCACTTTGTGTCAACAGGCTCCAACCCTCCCATCCCCACTCTGACTGGGGAAAACCTGCTTTCCTTAGGAGTCAACACCATTCTCCTGGAGCTGAAGAGGACTGGGACTTTACCCTGAGGACACAGATCCTCCAGAACCATCGCTCATCAGGCTTCACCAGCAGAGCAATGTCTCTTTAAGGAAGCTGCTATTTTCCATGTCCTTCGTCCCCTGGGTAAGGCAGGTCTTGGAGGACAAGGTTTGCAGAAGGTAATCCGTCACTGTCACTCGCAGCTGTGCTCCACTGTCAACTGGTTAATTAGACGCCGTCATTTCCATTTTTAATTTCTGCAATTTGACATTTTGTGCAGAAGGAAAAAAAAAAAATCCAACCCAAGCTCGGAGCTGCAGCAATCCACGATTTTATAATTAGGAGGCAGAGGGGAAGAGGAGCCAAAAGAGCTGACAGGTGTCCTGTAAACAGCGTTGAGACACCTGCTGAGATGGAGCCTGTTTTCTACTGCAGAGAAATTGGACTCTGAAGTGCTGTATGATAAGGATCCTTCAGACAGACAAGTGGGAAAATACTCCCCGTGACAGAGTGGGACAAGCAGCTGCCAAAGGCTCCTGTGAAAAAGCCCAGTGAGAGAGCACTGGGAGGAAACTCCTCCACACCAGAAGGCTCCAGTTCTGCCCAGGCTGGTTTTGCACCCTGTGCTCCCATCCTGATTTATTGCCAATGGATTGGTCTCTGTTGCTATCTTGGGCTTGCAGGGTTGAGGGGTGATGGAATCCTTGGGAGACAAAGCTATAGGAGGCAGAGGTCCTTCTTCCATCCTCCTCTGACTCGGGCTCATCATAAAAACTCATGCAAACCTCATCAATTTTCCTGCAACTTCCACTGCCCACAACAGCATTATTCTCTGTGAAGACCTAGCATCTCTTCTTCTAGGCTCAGGACCAGCCAAAAATCCTCCTAGAACTCAGCCCCATGGTTTAAATATTGCCCACCCCCAGTACTCAACTGATGAGTGGTCTGGGCTTGATTTTGCTTTACACTCTGCCTAACCCTCAGTCTCCAAGTGGACTTGAACAGCTGTCTAGGAGTAAAGCAAGCATCTAGAAATCCTGTGAGGACTTATCCTGCAGAACTACCTCCAGGAGAAGATGATGAGCAGGATGAATAAGTTTCAGGATTTCTAGATCTTCTCCACTCCCAGAAAACTCAAACAGGTCTCAGCATCAGCAGCTGGACAAGATCAGACCTGTGCTACGTGGACTTCTGAGAGGAGAAAGCATCAGGGACTGGTTGAATCCATGACAGTGTTCTTGCAGGCTCCTCAGAGCCAAAGCATGTTGCTGAGAAACTGTGAGTCCTATGGCCAAAAAGCAAAGTGTGCCTTGGCACCCACAGAAAACCCCATCCACGTCCAACCAGCACCGTTTGTAGACTTCTGGGGAAAACCAGCCTGCAATGCAGTGAAGTGAATTGATTTATGGTGCCTGAGAAGAGCCCGGGGAGAAGAGCCCAGCTCCTCATGAATATTTCACAGGCACCCTCCTGCTGGGTGAAATGAGAAGGGAAGGGGATTACATCCCAGCACGACCAAAGGAGGCTGGTGGAGGAGAGCAGAGGTACTGTGTCGGATTTGCCAGCAGGACCCTGGCAGCCAGCTGGAATGCTCCTTGTCCTCTCTGCTTCAACTCCTTATCACATGGAGAGTGGGTGTAGGGATGGGGTGCTTCCAAAAAATGAAGCACAGACACATGTATCATCTGCTTCCCCAGGTCTGTCCTGTCTCCCTCTGATGCAGTAGCAATGCTCTCCTGAATCTGTGACTCACAAGGGGCTGAAAGACTCCCAGGACCTTCTGAGATATTTTCCCAGCAGCATAACACTGTACCAAAGTGTCCTTGTCTCCCCCAAAACCATCACCCCCCTGAGCAGTTGTTTCTGTTGAGACTGAAGATGGAGGGACTGTGGAAGTGTGTTTCATGGGAAATAGAAAAGAACAAGAAGGGGGGGGGGGAAAAAAAGGATGTGCCAATAATCAAACCTAGCTGCTAGGACAGAGAGAAGATGTGGCAGCATTCCATCAGGACTCTGCCACGGCCGAGTGACTTATTTATGCAGAAGTGTCTCTGATGAAGCCATCATTGCACTATCTAAAGAAATGATGAATGCCTATTAAAGCATCCTAGCAGGGAAATGACAACATCCCTGCTGAGTCTTTATTTACCTTCTATTTGAGCCCAGATCCACAGAGGTACTTTGGGCCTCTTTTCAATTTGCATACCCCTCATCTCTTCAAAACCACTGTGAAGCTGTCACCAAGCCCCAGAGGTCCTCACACGTTCACTGGCAGCATCTGCAAGGCTGCCTGTGAGCTGCTTCCCTCCATCCCTGCAGCTGACAGCTCCCACATCATGGTGAGATGCTCCTCCACCACACTGCTCCTGTGAGCACCCTTGAGCTGAGGGCCACCAGGTCTCAGCTGAGAGAGGGACAGACCATTGACTCACAGTTCCACAGCCCCAGGGGCTGCACTAGCCAGCAGGAGGTTGGGAACATAAGACTGAGTCAGATTCCCTCTGAATGAGACAGAAAGGCAGCAAAACAGCAGATCCAGCTTAGCCTGCCTTTAAAGGTTCAAGATGGAGAGCTCAGGGTAGAAGATGATGACTCCTTGGTCAGATGAGCACCACTGACTGGCCTGGTGCTGCCAGTTTTCTGCTTCTTCTGTAGTCCTGTTTTGATTATTCTCGGTGGATCCTTTCCCAGCAGTTTCCAGAAGATCCTTAGGGGCATATCAAAAGATCCTGCCTTAGGTGTTTGTGTCTCCCTTGAATCACAGGAAGAGTTCTCACCTCAAGGCTGTTCATTTTCTGATGTGGCAGGAAATTTCACAGAACCCCAGCATGGTGGGGTTGGAAGGGACCTCTGGAGATCATCTCATCCCACCCCTGCTCCAGCAGCTCACCCCCAGCAGGGTGCCCAGGGTCACAGCCAGCCACGTTTGGGATCTCTCCAGAGCAGGAGACTCCACAGCCTCTCTGGGCAGCTGCTCCAGGGCTCCATCACCCTCAGGGGAAAGAAATTTCTCTTTAAATTTGGGTGGAACTTTGTGTCTTCTAGTTTGTGCCCACTGTCCCTTTTCCTAGCACTGGGCACCACTGAGAAGAGTCTGGCCCCATCCTCTTGACCCCTGCCCTTTAGATATTGTTAAGACCAATTGTTCAGCAGACTTCAGAAGCAATAAAACCCCAAGAAATTTGGGTAAATCCATCGCTCAGGCACATCAGCTACTCAGATGGAGGATGGGAGGATTGCTAGACCATAGGATGTGACCTCATAGGTGTCATTCTCCCCCCAGCTTGGCTTGAACAGAGGAGCCCATGGGACCACCCACTGCCACTGCTGTGTGGGGAAGGATTTGGGATGCATCAGTATATAGCGATCCCTCCTGCTCTCAAAAAATGATAGTTCTGGTTCCTTTCACATCCTCCTCTTCCCCTGGGTTGTCTTTGTTGCTGTTGTTGATGTTGATTGGTTGTTTTCCTTCGTTTTGTTGAGTTTTCCTAAGTAAAGCAACAAAACAGTGACCTGGGGGTACATCTTGCCCTCTGTTTAGCCAGACTTAAATGCTCTTCAGTACCAACCAGGAAAGGCTCCTCAGTGGAGCTGTTTTACAAGGATGCCTGTGCCTGCTGCCACTCAGCAACTCATTAACTCATCACAAACGAAGGGAAAAGGCTCCAGTCTGAAATTTTCCAGCCCTGCTCGGTTTTAGGCAGCTTAGCATGGAGCTAATTGCCTTCCAAAAGATCTTTTTGTCATGGCTGTTGTTGTGCCGTCGCTGGGCTGGGACTGCACTCATTAATAATAATTTTAGCATATGAAAAGCTTGTAAGGAATCCACGTGCTGCAGACGGCAGGCTCAATTACAGCAATAACATAATTAGGGTTATGCAATAGCTGGCTGTACCCAGGCCACTGAAGGAGGAAGAGATGCATCAGAGGGACGTGGGGGGCTGCTGAGGCAGAGAAGGGCTGGAGGAAAGCTTGGGGAGGACCCAGTGGCC